GGATTTATCGGGGACAATGATATTCGCTTCTAAACCAGTATCTGTTGTCTGTGGAGTGGATTTGGGGATTCCTGGCGGCACTGGAAGTTATGACAGATTAGAATCATTTCTTTTACCTGTCACACAATGGGGAAAACAGTACATCTTAACAACGGTCGGATCAACGAACAAAAAACAAGGAGATATTTTCCGAATTTTTGCCTTTGAAAATAGTACGGTTGTCCACAGTGCATACTGGATCAAAGTTTTGTTATCCGGCACTTATACTGAATTGATATTAGGCGAAAATCTTACATCGTTTGTGAACTGCAATAAACCTTGTCAAGTGGTACAATACATAAGGGGGGAAACAATTGGCTCGAAAAAGGCGGACACTTCGATGATTGTCCTTCCTTCGATTAAACAGTTTAAATCATACTATCGTGTTCTTTGTAGTCATATTTCAGGTTTTTACAGTTCTGCAACAATTACGATTGAGGAACGTTTAACCAACGGTTTGTTTCTAAATGGAGTTAAAATGAGTTATCTAAATTGGATTAAAATTTCGGGGACAAAATATGTTTGGACAGTGGTTGGTATGCCTGGAACAAAACTTGCTACCTTCTATCATTCTTCGCGTGATGGTAACTTTGGACTGCTGGTGTATGGCTGGAATGGCGATAATTCGTATGCTTACCCCGGCGGATTCACATTCCAACACTACAGTACCGGTAAGTAATTGTCACAGACTTCGGAAGCTTATACCATCCTAACTTGTTCAGCGTTTAAATATATAACGTTCACGTTTACGGCCTAAAAATATGTTGCATTCTTAACAAATTTAACAAAATCCTGTGTGAACTGATTTGAAACAAATTATTATCGACAACGAAATTCTATTTAAAACATTATTATTATTTATTTATTATTATTTATTATAAAATTACATGCTCCCGAAAGGGCTTTTCAGCATACAATTACAATAAAAAGACTAAAATATGCTATTATATACATGCGGTTAAAAATGGTAGATAGGTACAATGTTCAATTATTTAAAATGTATTTCTTTACTTCAGATTTAAAGTGTTTTGATATTTCTCAATGATTTGATTGAATCAGGCAGGCTGTTCCAATGTTTGGTCGCGCGGTAATGAAAAGTTTTTTGGCCATAGTTTGTATTTGATTTTGGAATTTCTAGATCTTTACTGGACCTGGTAGAATAATTGTGGATGGTATCTCGCAGGTAGAATTTCTCGCTCAGGTACGGCGGTGAAAGATCGTTCATGCACTTGTATGTTTGTACAATGTCTTTGTATACAAGTGTTTGGTCAACCGTCATCCATTTCAATTCTCTTAAGATGGGTGTAATGTGGTCAAACTTTCGTGTGTTCGAAATAACACGAGCTGCGAAATTTTGGACTAACTGGAGTTTCTTTACATTTTTGCTGTTGTGTTTGCCCATACGGACGAACAATAGAACAACCTTGTCAAAACCAATGCTTGAACCACTGAACACAACGTTTCCTGATCCAGGAGATGACGAATCCTACGGATTTGGCATAACTTGGCCATGCATTTAGAAACCAACAGACTGATATGTTCATCGAATTTCATATATGCATCTAACGTGACTCCCCAGTCTTTGGCAGAAAAAACAGGGAATAGCGTTTTGCCTACAAAACTCAGCGAGAACTCTTCAGTAAATGGTTTTAACAAAGCTGGTGATCCGAATAACATGAATTTTGTCTTTTCTGGATTTGTTAAAAGTGAGTTTGTACAACACCGGCTTGTTATTCTAGTTAGATCTTCTTCTAGTTTGGCCTTCGCTTCCGATTTATCCTGCACTGAAAAGGACAAAAAGATTTTACTATCGTCGACGAACGATCTGAGGCCACTGTTTACCACTGCGGTTGGAAGGTCATTTGTATAAATGCTGAAGAGAAGGGGGGAAAGAATCGATCCTTGGAAAACACCATGTGTGATATGAAGTGGCGTCGACTTGCTTGAGCCAATTTTCACGTATTGAGATCTACCAGTGAGATAGCTGCGAAACCACTTTGTGGCTGATTCAGACAAACCGATGTCCGCTAATTTCCTCAACAAAACTTCGTGGCTTAAACTGTCGAAAGCTTTAGACATGTCTATATCAAAATCAAGGCCGTCACCTTTTTCTGATCCATTGCCTGCAGTATTTGGTCAGTTATGAGAATGTTCAATGTTTCGGTTGAGTGGCTCTTCTTATTACCGCTTTGATGGGTGGAAAGACTTTCGTTTTTTTGTAAAAAATCAGTTAATTGGTTTAATGCCACCTTTTCGCATATTTTTGATGCAATCGTTAACATGGAGAGAGGACGGTTATTGGATGCAACGTCACGGTCACCTTCTTTTAAGAGTGGTATGACTTCAGCAAGTTTCCAAACATTAGGGTATGTGGAGGACATCAGGGACCTATTGATAATATTAGTTAATGGCATTAGGATAGTTGGTAGTGAATCTTTTATCACTCGCATGTGGACGATGTCCGGCCCAGGAGATTTGTTAGTAGGCATGGACAATATAATCCTTTTAACTATATTGCTTGTAGTTGGTTGGAAATTAAATCTGAGGTGATGGTTAATAGGGCGCCTGCGGGCAGCATACGGTTGTATATTGTATTTCTGTACCAATTGTTTGACTGTATGCGAAGTGGATTCTCCAACTTTAGAGAAATACAAATTAAACTCTTCTGCCAAAAGAAAAACTCTTCTTTTAAACTTAAACTCTAAAAATTAAACTCTTCTGTCTTTAGAAAAAATATGATCTGGACTTTCTCTTGAAGGCAAGTATTGATTTATCACCTTTCATATCGCCCCGGGTTTTCCTTCACAGTTTTGTAATTGATTGCGAGCGTAGGATTTCTCAGCTTCTTTCAACATGGATTTGGCAGCATTACTGGCATTCTTGAAAAGTGACCAATCATCAAGGCATCTGGTTTGACGAAAAATTCGATGCAGGTGATCACGCTTTTTCATGACTTGTTTTATTTCGTCGTTGACAAAGGGTGTGGAACGATTTCTTATTCTAATTTCCTTTATGGGGGCATGGTTGTTCAGAATGGAAGAAAAGGCATTATTAAAAGTACCCAGGTGGTCGTTAATTTCGGGAAAGATGTTGTGGAGATTCGAAAAGTAACCGGTTAATTGTGCCAAGTCAGCCTCATATGTAGACGAATTATAATTTCGGTAGCTTCTAGCAATGACAGAACAACTTGGTGGTTTTGGGAGCTTGAGTGTTAAGATCATGAATACTGGGAGATGGTCGCTTATTGACTTGTTCATAACGCCACTGGTCTTTACGAGTGTAGGTGAAGACACTAGGATAACGTCTACAAGCGATCTAGAACTATCCGTTACCCTGGTCGGTGATTTAATGATTTGTTACAAATTCAATTCAGGTTTTTTTTAAAGTTCTGCCTTCATGGCTGTTGTTCAACACGTTACAGTTTAGATCTCCCAACACGAAAATCGGATGACCCATTAAGAGTGCCTCAGTATACGAAGGTTTAAACGAGTTTTCGAAACAGCTTAAGGGACAGTCTATATATTGCGCATATCACAAATGACTTTAGCTTTTTCATATTGTAGTCGTAACCAAAGTTGATGGAGGCCGTCGTCTGAAATGCTGGAGATGTTTTTAATTTGATGGCATTTTATGTCTGGGCGGGTGTAGACACAAACGCCTCCGCCGACTTTGTGTGGGCGATCAGGTCGATACAAGTTGTAGCCTTCGATTTTAACCTCAGCATTTGTGATTTGCGGATTTAACCATGTTTCAGAAACTGCTAAAATGTCCGGTTTATCCTCCTGGCATAATTGTTTGATATGTTGGAAAAGCATGTACGTGGACGACCACATAAGCAGAAAAAAGACGGTGGAACAAGCCAAGCAGCTGAAAGAGAAAGCAGAAAAGATTTTCAGTGATGCAACATTTACATTGCATAAATGGCATTCGAATGAACTGGAACTAGACGAATCACTCATTACCGCAGCGGACGAAGTGACGTACACAAAGCAACAATTGGGAGCATTGTAGTTTACTAGCACTTCCGCGGAACAAATCCTCTGACACCATCAGTGTTACCATTCCCGCCGAGTCAGCAAAATCAACTAAACGAGGAAATTTACAGAAACTTGCGAGAATCTATGACCCTTTGGGTCTAGTGTCACCACAAACCCTTCAAGGAAAGTTTATCTACCGTGAGATATGTCAGAAGAAGATCGGATGGGACGTAGAGATCGATAGTGAAGTGAAGAAGAAACTAGTACGTTGGGAACGAGAGCTACCAAACCAAGTCACGACAGAGAGATTGTTAGTGAAGTTCCGCGAGAACATTGATTCAATAGAACTGCATGCTTTTGGGGATGCAGGTAGCCAAGGCGTCCCAACTGCTGTGTACGCAATTGTCCGTCCGTCAACCATCAGGTGTTAGCCAAGGACTAGTGGCTGCAAAGTCGAGATTGTCAAAGCAAGGCCTCACCATACTTCGCCTGGAGCTGGTGTCTGACCATATGGCTGCTAACCTTGTCAGTAACGTGGAAAAAGCTTTGGACGGATTTCCGATCACTGTAATACAAGGCTGGCTCGACAGCACAGTCGCACTTCAGTGGATCAACGGCGGCGGAGAATATAAACAATTTTTTGCAAATCGAATCCAGATCATAAAATCAAACACCCGAATTCAATGGCGTCACGTACCATCCGAGCATAACCCAGCAGATCTAGGAAGTAGAGGTGGTTCGGTGGCGAACAAGAAATTTTGGTGGAATGGTCCAGAATGGCTAGACACTCCTGAAAGTTGGCCTGAACATATCACCCCTTCGCCGACCAAAGAAAGCAATGCCGAAGCGAAGGTCGTCAAGCAAGTACTCGCAGTATCCTTAGAGGACACTAACAAGCTAGACGAAGTGCTCGAGAAACATGACCTATGGAAAGCCTTGAGAATCTCTGCATGGGTAGCAAGATTTGCTTTCAACTGCCGCCAACACAAGGAGAAACTCCGAGGTCCACTTACGACTAACGATCGAGTACGAAGAAGAGCGGTTAACCCTGAATCTACAACCAAACGAATTCGGTGCGGTTGGTCTGTCGAGGACGAATTCAAGGAAGCTATCCCGTGTTTCTGCCCGACACAGATCCTTTCACAGTTAAGTTGGTAGAGCAAGCCCACATGCGCACCCTCCATGGGGCAGTGGGCTTGACCATGGCTCACATCCGAGAGAAGTACTGGATTCCGAGACTTCGCAGACTTGCTCGGAAAGCGATCAAAGGATGCTATGGTTGCCGGAGATTCCAAGCAAAAGCCCTGGAACAACCCTCATCTGGTGTGCTCCCACGTGACAGAACAGAAGGAAGTCGCCCATTCCAAACATTAGGAGTAGACTTTGCGGGGCCATTGAAGTACAAGAAACGAAACAAGTCCCAAGTCCGTAGGAAAATCGTACATCGTGTTATACGCCTGCAGTTTGAGAAGAGCAGTCTACATCGACCTACTTGCTAGCTTATCAACGGATGAGTTCATCAGGGGCCTGAAAGGATTCATCGTGAGAGACATAACCAGTGAGAGACATAACCAGTCTCACGGTACAAAGTCAGTGAAATTAAAGATCGGGGATGTGGTTATAATAAAGTCGGACGAGAAGAATCGAGAGCAAAATGGCAATTGGGAATTCCAGATGAGCTTTTCAAGGGACGTGACGGCGTGGTGAGAGCAGTAAGACTTCGAGCAGGAAAGAATTTCTTGGAAATGCCACCCATTCATTTGTATCCCTTGGAACTATCCTGTGAAAAGAAAGAGAAAAAGAATCAAGAACCCTTGAATCCAGACGTTCCACCATTCAGACCAAAACGAGATGCAGCAGTAGCAGCAAGACAACGGATTCAGGAAGTAGCGACCGTTGAGAACTAATAGGTATATCAGAAGACCCATATAATCATGAGAACAGTAGTCTCCTAAAATACATATATCTCGACTAGCGAGCTATATGGGGGAGTGTGTCGGAGACTTTCAATTATAGTATATAGACCAGAGTACATTTAATCTTAGAATATAGATAATTTTTATTATTATCATTATTATTATTTTTAAGAATATTCACCATTGCATAAATTTGAATTGCGGTGAATTTACAACTAAGTATTTAATTACTATATTAACAATAATAAGGATTAAAGAGTTAAAATATATTAAAACGTTACCGTGTACTTCTATAAAATCTGTATTTAAATGTTGCTACTGTCATTAAAAATAGCCACAGTGCTCGAAAACAAGCTGCGGCGGTCATATAGTTATTAGTTTAAATATATAGTTATGAACACACTGTACGTGCAAAAGGGAAATGAAACTGCAGTGTAATGGACTAGGTTACCTTAGAGGTAGTGAATGCTGCCTTTTTGTCAGATTGCGGCAGAGCCCCCAAATGTCCCCACAGTCACTTTTTGTAGGGCTATATATGCCACCTCAAATAATGTTTACACTTTTTGAGTTGTTTTATTCTTATTACATAATATTACGTCATAATTTGTGAATAAACTTCATGTAAATATTAAAAATGGCAAAACTAAAAATGAGGATACCACGTTAATATGCTCTTTTGATGAAACAAACACAATTATTAAGTACTAGTTAAAACATGAGCAGCCGATCTAAATTCATATATGTACTCACCGCTTAGCCAAAAAAACATTCTGTATTTCATATCGAGAAAAAAAACACACTTAAATATCTTCTAAACTCTTCAGAATTTGCTCAGAGTCAATGTGAGTAAAATACTCATGCTGAAAGTTTCGTTCGAATACGGCAAGTAAAAATTTTTATTTTGAATTTTTCAAAATATCAGGTTTTTACTCGCACGCACGCGCCCGTGCATAAAGAGTATCGAATAGCATGCAGAATCGATTCCGGTTTATCCAGACCCCTATGGTATAAGCAGCGCTTTGTTAGTTTGTTTTGATGTACGTTTCACAGGCCGCGCTAAAAATATAAATATTCTGTAAATACCGAAATCTGAACACACAAGCTTGAAAATAACACTTTACGACACTCTAAATAGTGTTTTGGATTCTGGTTCGAATAAGACTATTACGAAAAAGATATGTTCAAAGGGGCCGAAGTTATGTTCGGCGAAATGTATGGCTTTGGCTAGTTACATTGTTCGAATATAAGAAATATGATACCGCTTGACCTCTCAAAGGTCATAAATAGCTATAAATATTGTGGACATTTGATTAAAACTATCGTCTAGTGTAGAAATTAGGAGATTTTGTTTCACTGAATCGAATGGTAGTATTTTTGTCTTCATAGCATACACCAAACCGAAGATATGAACCTTGCAAAGTCATAGAGTTGAGAGATATCAGATAAAGTTGATTCACGCATAGCATTGTGGATCTATCTAATATTTGACCACAATGCAATGCGCTAAGGCAAAATTTAAAATATTCCCAACTACATCAGTTAGGTGTGCTGCCTTGCTCGCTCGCTGAAGGTTCGCTCGCTGCGGCAGCAACTAGAAGTTTCGTATCCAACGCAAGAGATAAACAAACGTCACTATGCAACCGCATTGTCAGGGCGCAGTCGAAACTATAGGATCAAATCGCGATGACTTTTGCATATTTCCCGCAAGGAAACTTCGTCACATAACCGCATACTTAGACTTCGTCATATAACCACAATAAATTCTTATTATTTTACTATAAGTATAGCCTGTGTATGTTTGTTAGACACATTAGAACTTCAGTTTACTGGAGAGTTAACATCGATTGTGATGCAGTGAAGTGATGTCATTGTGACCTGTGACCTTTATTAAAGTTTCAAAAATTTAACTTGATTTCTGAATTTGTGAGTTGTTGGGCAAAACAAGGGAGGCTATCCCCAACAGCGCGTTGTCGTTAAAAATGTTAATGAATTGTCTGTCAGTTCCCGTTTATAAGCGTTTAACGTTTTCATCACGAAGCGCATGCAGTACAATGTTTGGCCAATATTGGGAAATCCCATCAAATTTAAACATTTAAATCGTGAATTGGCGTAAAAATGCCATTCGTTGATTTATTTCGTTTTAAAATAATATTCGACGGATTATATGTCGCAAAAAATTTCGGAAAAATTTCGGGGAAAAAAAATACGGGAAAATATTTCGAAATATCAACGGAAAAAGATCCCAGAATCCCGAGAAAAATTGCCGGGATTTTCTAATCCCAAAAATCTCCGTACGCTTTTTCAGAGTAATTTACCCCTCGGATCACGTAAATGTCGCAAAGCTGGTCCATAGTGATAAATCGACCGCATAGGAAGAGCATAGGAATAGACGCCAATCAATGATTGCTGTGATCATAAAATCTTTGGAGAAATGCAGTTTAGTGTACATGCAATCTATTTGTAAATGGCAAGACATCATTCAGAACAACTTGCTCAGCCCATACACGCGCATATAGCTACAATGGAATGTCATTTCTCATTACGTTGAATTCCCGGAATGAATAATTGTTGGTATCGATTTTTAAATTTATATTAGATTCATAAACAGAAATCAAGAAATCAGAAATGTGAATGTCTTCGTTCAGTTCGTTTCGATTCTTTATTTTTTTGTGAGAAGATGCATCTTTAAACCTCTCTTAAAAATTTTACTCGGTAGAGCCGGCTTTCGAAATACTGGTCATTTCAATTCATGAAAACACACAGAATTTTATAAAGCAAGTGCATGTTATGCTAGCAAAATGTATATATATATATATATATTCTGACTAGGCTGAAGAGCAATTAACGAGGTCCGATATTTAAATGGGGTGCCATCATCTACGCCGGAATTTCCGGCGTCTCTTATATATATATTGGGTGCATGCCAGTTTATATTGCGCGAGTACTAAACTACTTCACTAGAGTTACCTAAGCTAAGATTATTTTTTAAATCTTTTCCTTGTATTAGAAGACGACAAAACAAATCAAATGGCACCTTTCAATTGGACTTTCAGAGGTGAGATCAAAGTTTTTGTTTCACAAAACGTGACGTTTAAAAATCCATTCACCATTAAAACCTCCCTCACATCGAGTTACCTTGTCTCCAGTTCAATATCGCGTAATACACAATTTCAGATACTGCTATAAACAAATGGCGATTTACTCGCCATTTATCCTATAGCGTTCGCCCAAAGAGAATTAGGGTAACGTAACTCTTTATTTCCTATTTAAAGTGTGTCGTAATGAAAAATTAGACTAACTTTACCGACGTGGCAATTAGCAAATGTATATAACACGCAAAACTGGCTATAAACCCATTGCACTGACGTCACAAATCCTTAGAGTGTCCTCCAGATGCTCCCTAACAATATCTGTTCAGCCGGTACAACAACCACATACAGCGCAAAAATTAACCATTTTGATACAAATTTATTATAAATTTTACAAAATTTTCAGTTTGTTTACAAAAGTTATATTGCGCATAGATTGCTAATTTGTCCTCCAGATGCATCGTCACCGGCGCTGTTACGTCATGTGCAATGGGTCTATTCAACAATTATGCTATCAAATTTTGGTTCTCTATCCCCTGCTCTCCTTTCTCACCATTTCTCGTCAGCCTGTCTATATCTTCGCCTCCTAAAAGCAACACATCAGGGAGGAATCACTTTATGTGTGCTTCCTGTAGTTGAACCAATTAGGTATTTACTAATATATCACTTTGATACTTAAAATTATAGTAATGGTATTGCTAGAAAATGATATTCTAGGGAATTCGGGCACTGCCCTTCTTCAGGCTGGTCATGCCCAAAAATAATTTGTAGTCATTTTGCCAATCAATAGGCTGCAGAAAGCAGTAACAAAACTCGGCGTAACGATGCAAAAAAAACTACTTAAAATTCCACATAATTTATTGCAAGAATTAAATTTTTTCAATTTGATTTTTGTTTAGATAAACTGACTAACTATGGGAACAAGTTTGTCATAGGATTTACTTCCCAATATTCCCTGCGTACCTACGGTTACATTGGAATAGCAATTGCAGCTCACTTCGATACAAATGTCACAATTATCACACAATCAACTTCGAGCGTTCCGTTGAACGTCGCCATCCATATGAAAGAAGGGGATTTCTTGGAGTATGGTCTGCCGCGCTCCCTGCGAATGCAAGGAATCCAAAATAATGGTATTCAGGTTTCGTCAACAATGAATATTTCGATCGAGTGTTTCAATTATTATACAGGTGGTGATGGATACCTAGCACTACCAACTGACGCACTAGGTGTAACATATGTTGTTGCATCATATACACCATACAATAGCGTTGCAAGAGCTAAAATTGGTATAGTGTCAATACATGACGAAACAACCATTTTAATTCAACCAATTAAGAATGCCGTTATTGAAATTGGTGGAACCGCGTATACTCACGCCGGCCCGATCCATGTTTTCTTGGGTAAACTGCAGTCCATGCAAGTAACTAGTGAATCGGATTTATCGGGGACAATGATATTCGCTTCTAAACCAGTATCTGTTGTCTGTGGAGTGGATTTGGGGATTCCTGGCGGCACTGGAAGTTATGACAGATTAGAATCATTTCTTTTACCTGTCACACAATGGGGAAAACAGTACATCTTAACAACGGTCGGATCAACGAACAAAAAACAAGGAGATATTTTCCGAATTTTTGCCTTTGAAAATAGTACGGTTGTCCACAGTGCATACTGGATCAAAGTTTTGTTATCCGGCACTTATACTGAATTGATATTAGGCGAAAATCTTACATCGTTTGTGAACTGCAATAAACCTTGTCAAGTGGTACAATACATAAGGGGGGAAACAATTGGCTCGAAAAAGGCGGACACTTCGATGATTGTCCTTCCTTCGATTAAACAGTTTAAATCATACTATCGTGTTCTTTGTAGTCATATTTCAGGTTTTTACAGTTCTGCAACAATTACGATTGAGGAACGTTTAACCAACGGTTTGTTTCTAAATGGAGTTAAAATGAGTTATCTAAATTGGATTAAAATTTCGGGGACAAAATATGTTTGGACAGTGGTTGGTATGCCTGGAACAAAACTTGCTACCTTCTATCATTCTTCGCGTGATGGTAACTTTGGACTGCTGGTGTATGGCTGGAATGGCGATAATTCGTATGCTTACCCCGGCGGATTCACTTTCCAACACTACAGTACCGGTAAGTAATTGTCACAGACTTCGGAAGCTTATACCATCCTAACTTGTTCAGCGTTTAAATATATAAAGTTCACGTTTACGGCCTAAAAATATGTTGCATTCTTAACAAATTTAACAAAATCCTGTGTGAACTGATTTGAAACAAATTATTATCGATAACGAAATTCTATTTAAAACATTATTATTATTTATTTATTATTATTTATTATAAAATTACATGCTCCCGAAAGGGCTTTTCAGCATACAATTACAATAAAAAGACTAAAATATGCTATTATATACATGCGGTTAAAAATGGTAGATATAGGTAGAATGTTCAATTATTTAAAATGTATTTCTTTACTTCAGATTTAAAGTGTTTGATATTTCTCAATGATTTGATTGAATCAGGCAGGCTGTTCCAATGTTTGGTCGCGCGGTAATGAAAAGTTTTTTGGCCATAGTTTGTATTTGATTTTGGAATTTCTAGATCTTTACTGGACCTGGTAGAATAATTGTGGATGGTATCTCGCAGGTAGAATTTCTCGCTCAGGTACGGCGGTGAAAGATCGTTCATGCACTTGTATGTTTGTACAATGTCTTTGTATACAAGTGTTTGGTCAACCGTCATCCATTTCAATTCTCTTAAGATGGGTGTAATGTGGTCAAACTTTCGTGTGTTCGAAATAACACGAGCTGCGAAATTTTGGACTAACTGGAGTTTCTTTACATTTTTGCTGTTGTGTTTGCCCATACGGACGAACAATAGAACAACCTTGTCAAAACCAATGCTTGAACCACTGAACACAACGTTTCCTGATCCAGGAGATGACGAATCCTACGGATTTGGCATAACTTGGCCATGCATTTAGAAACCAACAGACTGATATGTTCATCGAATTTCATATATGCATCTAACGTGACTCCCCAGTCTTTGGCAGAAAAAACAGGGAATAGCGTTTTGCCTACAAAACTCAGCGAGAACTCTTCAGTAAATAGTTTTAACAAAGCTGGTGATCCGAATAACATGAATTTTGTCTTTTCTGGATTTGTTAAAAGTGAGTTTGTACAACACCGGCTTGTTATTCTAGTTAGATCTTCTTCTAGTTTGGCCTTTGCTTCCGATTTATCCTGCACTGAAAAGGACAAAAAGATTTTACTATCGTCGACGAACGATTTGAGGCCACTGTTTACCACTGCGGTTGGAAGGTCATTTGTATAAATGCTGAAGAGAAGGGGGGAAAGAATCGATCCTTGGAAAACACCATGTGTGATATGAAGTGGCGTCGACTTGCTTGAGCCAATTTTCACGTATTGAGATCTACCAGTGAGATAGCTGCGAAACCACTTTGTGGCTGATTCAGACAAACCGATGTCCGCTAATTTCCTCAACAAAACTTCGTGGCTTAAACTGTCGAAAGCTTTAGACATGTCTATATCAAAATCAAGGCCGTCACCTTTTTCTGATCCATTGCCTGCAGTATTTGGTCAGTTATGAAAATGTTCAATGTTTCGGTTGAGTGGCTCTTCTTATTACCGCTTTGATGGGTGGAAAGACTTTCGTTTTTTTGTAAAAAATCAGTTAATTGGTTTAATGCCACCTTTTCGCATATTTTTGATGCAATCGTTAACATGGAGAGAGGACGGTTATTGGATGCAACGTCACGGTCACCTTCTTTTAAGAGTGGTATGACTTCAGCAAGTTTCCAAACATTAGGGTATGTGGAGGACATCAGGGACCTATTGATAATATTAGTTAATGGCATTAGGATAGTTGGTAGTGAATCTTTTATCACTCGCATGTGGACGATGTCCGGCCCAGGAGATTTGTTAGTAGGCATGGACAATATAATCCTTTTAACTATATTGCTTGTAGTTGGTTGGAAATTAAATCTGAGGTGATGGTTAATAGGGCGCCTGCGGGCAGCATACGGTTGTATATTGTATTTCTGTGCCAATTGTTTGACTGTATGCGAAGTGGATTCTCCAACTTTAGAGAAATACAAATTAAACTCTTCTGCCAATTGAGCGGTGTCTTTAGAAAAAATATGATCTGGACTTTCTCTTGAAGGCAAGTATTGATTTATCACCTTTCATATCGCCCCGGGTTTTCCTTCACAGTTTTGTAATTGATTGCGAGCGTAGGATTTCTCAGCTTCTGTCAACATGGATTTGGCAGCATTACTGGCATTCTTGAAAAGTGACCAATCATCAAGGCATCTGGTTTGACGAAAAATTCGATGCAGGTGATCACGCTTTTTCATGACTTGTTTTATTTCGTCGTTGAGAAAGGGTGTGGATCGATTTCTTATTCTAATTTCCTTTGTGGGGGCATGGTTGTTCAGAATGGAAGAAAAGGCATTATTAAAAGCACCCAGGTGGTCGTTAATTTCGGGAAAGATGTTGTGGAGATTCGAAAAGTAACCGGTTAATTGTGCCAAGTCAGCCGCATATGTAGACGAATTATAATTTCGGTAGCTTCTAGCAATGACAGAACAACTTGGTGGTTTTGGGAGCTTGAGTTTTAAGATCATGAATACTGGGAGGTGGTTGCTTATTGACTTGTTCATAACGCCACTGGTCTTTACGAGTGTAGGTGAAGACACTAGGATAACGTCTACAAGCGATCTAGAACTATCCGTTATCCTGGTCGGTGATTTAATGATTTGTTGCAAATTCAATTCATGGCAGGTTTTTTTTAAAGTTCTGCCTTCATGGCTGTTGTTCAACACGTTACAGTTTAGAACTCCCAACACGAAAATCGGATGACCCATTAAGAGTGCCTCAGTATACGAAGGTTTAAACGAGTTTTCGAAACAGCTTAAGGGACAGTCGGGGGGTCTATATATTGCGCATATCACAAATGACTTTAGCTTTTTTATATTGTAGTCGTAACCAAAGTTGATGGAGGCCGTCGTCTGAAATGCTGGAGATGTTTTTAATTTGATGGCATTTTATGTCTGGGCGGGTGTAGACACAAACGCCTCCGCCGACTTTGTGTGGGCGATCAGGTCGATACAAGTCGTAGCCTTCGATTTTAACCTCAGCATTTGTGATTTGCGGATTTAACCATGTTTCAGAAAGTGCTAAAATGTCCGGTTTATCTTCCTGGCATAATTGTTTGATATGTAGCAAGTAGTTACGATTTTTGCGGGATCGGGCATTCAGATGGATAATTTTGAGCTTAGATTTCTTCCTTTGGTGTTTTGTCGCTGGGGTCTTCAGTAAGTTCGGTGAGATATTCGTACAATCGACGGCAACAGTTTTCTTAATTGGGATATTTATTAAATTATGTCTCCCTATAGCTACTTTCTCGGTTGGAATATTTATAAAATTTTGTCTCCCCACATAATAGCCTATGCGAGGTGTCATTTGCACCGGAATTTTGTTCTGTTCTCTGATAGTTGGGGTCGGTATTGGGTTAGGTGTACATGGATGTCCGACAATGATCGCTACCCTATATTTTGGCGAACATATCTTAGGTATCTTTTCCATTCAGGTCGGTTTCGTTCACAGTACGTTTCGTCCCCGCTTGGGGATTGGCTCGGTGACGGGTGAGACATTTCCATTCGTTCGTAGTGGGTTTCGATCTCAGGTGGATTTCGTTCACGATACGTTTTCTTCTCACTCGGGGATTGACTCGAGTGGGATAGAATGCTTTGGCTCTGTGACGGGTGGGATGGGACAGGGTGCTTTTCCAAAAAGGGGGTTGTAACATATTATGTTGATCTTTCTGTTCTGTATAGTTGTTCGATATTGGAAATTCGACGAGGGGCAGATTTAACTTAGATACAAGTGTTGGGGATATGTGATTCGGTTTTATTGCATGACAAAAAACAGGGTCAGCTATTGTTATTAATGGAATCTGTCGTTGCTCGAGGCAGTTGGATAGATTGTCATTTGCATATGTTGTGAATTCTGTTTGTTGAGCATTGCTATCACAGTTTGGTTCCACTTGATCAAAACTCTGAGGGCTAATTAAATTTGTTTGTTGCAGGCTATTTTGATCATGGCGTTGGTTGTTACTAACAATTAATTGGTCCCATGGTTTATAATTTTCTTTGGAACTTTCTTTATTTGTTTCAACAATTGAGATTTCATGTATGCTTGAGTTGCCGTTTATGCTAAGTGGAGTGGTTTCATAATTCACTTTCCCGTCATTATCTTTATTATCTTTTGTTGAGTTCAACAGTTTATTATTACTTTCCGTTGCTAATGAGCCGCTTCGTTGGTCATCGCCAAACATTTGTATTTCAATGTCGGCAGGAACATTATGTTCACTACACAAAATACTTTTCGGTATACTGTAGTATAGACTTCCTTAAGTGATTTGCCATCGTTTATAATTGAATTGACTGGATTTTCTTTAACCATTTCACTATTTATGCTTTTGTTTCTATTCCCGTGAGACTTTTCAATAGAAAAAACTTTCCCCTCCAGTTCGGAAATTCGTGATTTTCAGGTCAAGTTCTCTCTATTCAATCTGCATAAATCTTGTTTACTTGTATTTATAATTTTAACTTGTTCAGAAAGTTTTTCCAACAAATTTACCATTTCCGATTCGATCTTTTCTTTAAAAATGAAAAAACGTGCCTCCATTGTAACCGAATTATCATTAACACGCTTCTGATGTGGCCGGAGTAGAATTACCGATTTCTTGGGCGAAATTTCTAGTACAGTCATCCCTCGGCAAGGCGGTCGCATTATAAAATGAATTGTCAATAAAATCCTCAAGTTCCTTGAGCGTTGAGGTATCAGCAACCGATGCCGTGTCTTTGCTTATAGGTGTGTTAGTTAGGTCATCAAAATAAACCCTTGTGGCCCCAGCCGATTGCTTGTCTATATTGACTTGCCGGGGCGGCGATTTTACTTCAATAGGGCTCACAGATACAGCCTTCGTTTCGCAAATATTTATCAAGAATTCCCTGAACAAATATCCCTCGCGATGTGTGGAGTAAATTTCTGGAGTAATAAACATCGCGGTGTGTGGAGTAAATTTATCCACATATTTGCATATGTGGATAAATTTGCATATGCGGTAAAATTCTGGAGTAATAAACATCGCGGTGTGTGGAGTAAATTTATCCACATATTTGCATATCGATATTTTTCTTCGCCGAGAATGAATTAGCATCAACGAGAAAAATTTACAACTGAATAAATATTTTCTATTTATTATGTTTGTCATGCCATGTGCATAAAACACTGTGACAAAAGAATATTGTCTTCGTTATTATTATTAATTTTTTGTCAGGTAACAGAATATGGCAAACTAGTAAGCGCTGTCGGAGACTTTCAATTATAGTATATAAACCAGAGTACATTTAATCTTAGAATATAGATAATTCATATAGTTATTAGTTTAACACACTATACGTGCAAAAGGGAAATGAAAGTGCAGAGTAATAGACTAGAAGTTTCGTATCCAACGCAAGAGATAAACAGACGTGATTATGCAACCGCATTGTCAGGGCGCAGTCGAAACTATAGGATCAAATCGCGATGAATTTGCATATTTCCCGCAAGGAAACTTTGTCACATAACCGCATAGAATTCGTCATATAACCACAATAAATTCCTATTATTTTACTATAAGTATAGCCTGTGTATGTTAGTTAGACACATTAGAACTTCAATTTGCTGGAGAGTTAACATCGATTGTGATACAGTGAAGTGTAACGTATCTAATGTCATATTGTGACCTGTGACTTTTATTAAAGTTTTAAAATTTAATTTAATTTGTGAATTTGTGAGTTGTTGGGCGAAACAAGGGAAGCAATCCACAACAAAGTGGCACCTCCGACGGGATCTATTGTGATTATGACAAGTTCTATTCAAACCGAGTGAACTTAAATCTGTGAAAATGGAGTAATCTGATCGTAGGAAGAGTTAACAACCTGTTGACAGAGCGCGAAAAGGAGAGTTTAAAACGTACCGAGCAACTCTTACGAAGAAAACCAACGCGATTTACGAACTAAAGGAAGAGATTGAAGAACTTAAATTCACCAACAAAGAGAGTGACGAAGATGTGCAAACGTGGGCAACCGAAACAGAGACTAAAGTGAACAATCGAAGGAAAAATTTGAACTTGTGAGACGTGTGTTATCAGAAATCGAAAGCGAAGAAACAATTACCAAGCGAGAAAAAGACGAAGCGAGTCGACGCGAGGCTATCGACGCGGAGACGGAAAAACAAATTTCGATTGAGAAGGCGAGACTAGAACTAGAACGAGTGCATAAAGATGTTTGTAAAATCCGACTTGGGCATCGACGGTCAATGGAAATCTACTGGCGGAGAAGTAAAGAAATTCACGAGTAAAAGCTTTACGTTGAAGTGGCACGGTAAAACAAAGCAAAAGCTCGTTGTAATTCAAGATGATGAGAATGAAAGCCTTCAAGAGAAACTTGTGAAATCCGCCACGTTGGGTAATTTCAAAGGTCATGATGTAGGACAACGCAGTGAAAACATTGGAAACAAAAACACGCTCGAAGGCGTTCAGAAGTCGACATCATTGTCGAACGATGACAAAGACAAAGACAAAAACAAGGCAGAAAACCAAACTGTAGCGGTCAACTTCCCGACCGAAGTGCCCCTAGCTGAAAATGATCTGAAATTTACTAATTCTGTATGTTGTTGTCGTGAAGTCGTGTCACAACTCAAGCGTATCGAAGGTGATATACAGCAACTTAAAAACCGAACTGATTCTTATGAAGGAAAAGAAAATTCACGGCCATGTAAATTTAACACATGTGAAAGCGAAAAGGCTAATCTGAGAAACAACCTGGAAGAAGCAAACAACATAATAAAAGATCTGAGAGCGAAAGTTGAATATTTAGAGCACGAGAAGGTCAATCTCGCTACGGCCTTGGCTCTTCAACAAAAGGACTATCAAGCTTGTTTGAATAACTTAAACCAACCGAATAACATTACAGCTGAAATGTCTAATAATTTCTAAACCGTGCAGAAAACTAAAAGCAGCGATCGAAAGCAGCAAGCAGATATAATTCCATCAAGTTCCCACATGCTCAATATAGAAAACCGGTTTCTAACCCTGAGCGATACCTTGGATAATGAGTCACAAACAGAGTCTACTGTTCCGCACAATCTTTCCAAGCGTTATGAAACAAAGCCTGTAAACAACCAAGAAGAATCTACGGGTGAGCATCAAAACAAGCAACAAAATCTTAAAACGCGTGAAATCGGTTCGGATATCATTGTTATTGGCGACTCAATAATTAAAAATATTCAACCAAGGAAGCTCAGTAGGAAGAAGGTACATAAGTACACATTCCCAGGAAAAACCGCCGAAGAAATCGAAAAGGAGATCAATTTCGATAGTCTAAAAGCAATCCCATCTCACGTAATTGTACATGCTGGGACAAACAACCTGCCTCTAGAATCTGCTTCCGAATGTGCTCAGAAAATTGAGAAGCTTGCTGCGAAAGTAAAGTCACAATTTCCCTACTCGAAAATTGGTCTATCAGGCCTAACGGCGCGGCGAGATATTGCTATGTCTGAAAAGATTGATGAGGTTAATAAGGGCCTGTTCATATGATCCCACTTACCGGGACGTCTCGCTTACCGAGACGAATATTTCCGTGCGTTCATATGGAGTATTTCGTCCCGCTTGCCGAGATGAAATTACATTGTAGTTCTATAATTAGCGTATGCAAAACTTCTACATTTCAGTCAAGCAACACAAATACTTGGCGATTTTAGTGTTTTTCTTCGTTTATTTACAAGAAAAAGTATTGCTTCAGGTGGTTATTTAATACTTGTTTACAAAACAAACATAAAACCAAGTAAAAAGTGTTAAATTAAACCGGCAAGACTTGTTTCACTTCATCCCGGTAAGCGGGCTGGCGTGTTCATATGGAAAAATTTTCATCCCGCCTACCTATGATCTCGGCAAATTCAAACGAGATCTCGGCAAGCGGGCCAGCTCGCTTTCTCATATGAACACAATGCAAAATTTTATAGGAAAATAGATAGGCGGCGAGATCATCGGTAAGCGAGACGTCCCGGTAAGCGGGATCATATGAACAGGCCCTAAGGAGCTTCAGCATATTTGTATGCAACTGGATGTCTCGTTTATTGACAATACGACTATAGATGACACATGCCTAAATGGAAGTAAGCTTCATCTAAATGCGAAGGGCTCGGCTATTCTAGCAGTCCATTTTATCAAATTTCTCAAGGGGGGCAGTGCATCAACCTCTCCAAGTAAACGAAGGCAAAACTACGAGGATTTTCAGCGATCGGCAATTCTGAAACTTGGAGAACTGTTAAAGATAATTGTCCCTCCAGACAAGGGCACCCGCACCCGCAGAAGGAAATAATATCGGACTCAATGTATCGGACAGTACTCTTCTCGGAGACAACGAACCAAATAGGTAATCGGTGTGACCCCATACAAGGTAACTTTAACAATTTATTTAATGAGTTAGAGTCTTCTAAAGGCTTACGATTAGCGTGCTTGAACATTAACAGCCTGTTGAAAAACATTGATCAGCTTCGCTTGATCATGCAAAACATGCCAGTTGATATTCTTGCTATAAACGAGACAAAATTAAACCATTTGGTGCCTGACAGTGAAATAGCAATCGCTGGTTACTTTCACATTCGCCATGACCGATCTAGATCTGGTGGGGGAGTACTATTGTATGTTCGTGACTCTATACCGTTTTCTGAACGAAATGACTTAGTAACTGACTCACTAGAAATGATATGCATTGAAATTAGTAAACCTCACAATAAGTCATTTTTAGTAAGCACTTGGTATAGAGCTCCTAACTCGCAATCTGCTCTTTTTGATGAATATGAGGCTTTTTTAAGAAATAGCGATATAGAAAATAGAGAGGTAATAATTATGGGTGATTTGAACTGTGATATCTTGAAATCTCCTTGTGAGTCTCATACTCGCAAGCTACAGTTCCTTTCATCACTTTATCAGTTCGATCAGCTTATTGATGAACCCACAAGGATTACTGGAACATCAGCAACTCTAATTGATCTAATTCTGACAAATAAAGAGGAAAATATTTCAAAGTCTGGTGTCATACACCTTGGACTTTCTGATCACAGTATGATTTTCGCTGTTAGAAAACATTGTATTCCCAAATCACGGGAAAAGGTTAAACATATTCGTAACTTTAAAAATTTCAATGCCAATGATTTTCTTACGGATCTTTCACAGATGCCGTGGGAGAACATTGCCCAACATGACAATTCTAATGTATGCTGGCAGGTATGGAAATCACTATACCTCCAGGTCCTTGATCGACACGCTCCCCTTAGACGTATGAGAACTCGTGGAAATTCTCTCCCTTGGATTTCTTCAGACATCAAGGGTATAATGAGATCAAGAGACTTCCACAAAATAAAAGCGGTTAGATATAATTCTCAAAGTCATTGGACAAAATATAAGGAATTACGAAACAAAGTTAATGCTGAACTAATTAAAGCTAAAAGAAACTATTTCTGCAATAAAATAGAAGATTGTGCTCAGTCCAAAGACATAAAGCAAAGTTGGAATTTAATTAACCACCTCATGGGTAAAAATGTGAAATCAAATACGATATCCCAACTTAAAACGGATAATTCTGTCATTTCAGACGATAAATTCAAATCTGAGGCTTTTAATGATTTCTTTGTCAATATCGGGGCAAAACGTGCAGCTGAAATTGAAGATAATTCCCTCAACACAAATTCTTTTGCTCGCGGAGATTCTAGGCCTACTACCGACTCCAATCTTTTTTTCAAATTTTCTGAAATTAACGAGGACGAAGTAATATATCAATTGCGTAGTCTCAAAATTTCAAAATCCACAGGATTAGATAACATCCCTGCTAAAGCCTTAAAATATCCGCGGACATTGTTGGTCCGCCATTAACTTGGATATTTAACCTTTCGATCAAAAAAGGAGAATATGTGGATGAATGGAAAAAAGCCTGGGTTACACCCATTTATAAATCTGATGACAGGTTGAAATGCGAGAATTATCGCCCTATCTCGATACTACCCATTGTTAGTAAAATACTTGAGAGATGCGTTTTTAATCAAATTTATAAATTTCTTAATGACAATTCACTTCTTTCAAAACATCAACATGGTTTTCGGCCTAAACATTCAACTCTCACCGCTCTAACTCAGGTGTGCGATACTCTTTATGAAAATATGGATAATGGTCAATTGAGCGGCATTGTTTTTCTTGACATTCGTAAAGCCTTCGACTCAATTGATCATAATATTCTGCTTCATAAATTAAAAGATCAATTCGGTATATCGGATATTGAGTTAAGATGGTTTGAGTCTTACTTAAATAATAGGGAGCAAGTCTGTATTGTTAATAATTCAATGTCATCGTCAAAAAGGATTGTTTCTGGGGTTCCGCAGGGATCTATTTTAGGTCCACTGTTATTTTTACTCTATATCAATGACCTCCCCGAATGCCTTCAAAAAACTACTCCTTATTTATATGCTGACGATACCCAAATTTGCCGCAGCTCTAACAGTTTGATTGAATTAACCGAAAACCTTAATCACGATCTGAGTAGAATCGGTGATTGGCTTTCTAGAAATAAATTACAACACCACCCAACTAAGACCAAAATAATGTTCTTTGGCTCTAAACATCATATTAATTCCACAACTTTTGATCATCCAGTGATGTTAAATAACCAACGCATCCCCAGAGTTCACTCTTTCACATGTCTTGGTCTCGATTTAGATGAAAATCTTAACTGGAATTCACATATTCAGGCGATTCGCAAAAAGGTTGGAGCAGGCCTGGGTACTTTGAGACGTATTAAACCCTTTGTTCCAATAACCACCCTTCAAGCAATTTATCGAGCTCTGATTCAGCCGTATTTTGATTATTGTTCTCCCATTTGGGGCGTGTGTGATCAAAATTTGAAAAATAAACTCCAAAAATTTCAAAATCGCGCAGCCCGAATCATTGTCGGTGCAAGTTATGAGATTAGATCTGCTGATGTTCTTCAATCTCTTGCTTGGGACAATTTAGAGACAAGACGACGTACAACCAAAGCAATATTAATGTTTAAAGTCTTGAAGGATTACGTAGGACCTACGTTGAAAGAATCCTTGATAAGACGCAATCATATGCAAACAAATTATGATCTTAGAAATAGCCATACAGATTTGGCTCTTCCTAAGCCTAAAAGAGAATTCCTAAAAAAGAGTTTTAAATACAGTGGGGCTAAGCTATGGAATAGTCTCTCTATCGATACGAAACTGGCAGAATCAATGCACCTGCATGTTCAAAAGCCATTTAAAACTTAACTCTAATACTATATATATTTGAAATAAATTGTAACTCCATCTAACCATAACATCTAGGGTCACACCAATTTGTAAATAGTCTTCTTTTCCCTTATATCTATTGTAATTTTTAACATTGTAGACGCCCCCCGTGGAAACCAACGTACCGTTGACGGGGCTAGTGTCTCTAAATAAAGTTTTAATACAATAATACAATACAATACAATTCTGCAACAACAAATGAAATTTGAAAATGCTCGAGAATCAAACACTGAAAAATCGAAAGAACTTCAAGTCAAAAACGTGAAATTACCTAGATTATCAATCACCAAATTTACCGGTAAATTCTGTGATTGGTTACCATTTTGGAACACTTCCAAAGCTGAGATCGATTCAACTGATTTACCATCCGTATCAAAATTTGGATACCTGAGGGAATTGCTAGAACCAACCGTGCGGTCGGAAGTCGCAGTACCGACAGTTATGAACGAGCGAAGAACATCCTTGAGAGTGAGTACGGCAAGACGAGTGAGATCATCAATGCTTACATTCAAGACATTATAAACTTACCGGTGATTAACGGATCAAGTCCAGCAAAAATCCACGAATTTTACAAGATTTTATCGCATAACGTACAGTAGTTGCAAACATTGGGAAAAATCGAAAGGGTGAACGAGAATACTCGGAACGTGCTTGAGAAACTAAAAGGGATCAAAGCTGATCTAGTTCGCGGGGAAGAAGGCTGGCAAGATTGGGACCTCCCACGTTTAGTGGTCGCATTGAAGAAGTGGAAAGATATCAACCCGGTCGAGAACTCTGACGATAATCAGAACAAACGCGCATCAACACGACCTGGACAGCGATCAAATTTCTACCATACTAAGGACGGTGAACGGAAAAGGCGTGCTTGCATATATTGTAACGACAGCAACCATTCCTCGAAAGACTGCACGAAGATTACGTCCGTGTCAGAGCGAAAGAAAGTACTTGCCGATCGCAGGCTTTGCTTTAACTGCACTGGTGCTAAACACTGAGCATCAGACTGTAAAAGTACTGTCACCTGCCAAAACTGCCAGGGAAAACATCATACGTCCATTTGTATGAAAACTGTGCAACAAAAATTGATAACCGCAGCTGAAAACCATGTTCCGTTGGTGTATCCAGTCGTGATCGTGAATGTCGAAGGAGTGAAATGTCGTGCCCACTCGATACAGAGGCAGGTAGCTCGCACGCTTCAGCTGCTCTGTTGAACTGCCTAAAGCGTCGTGATTGTCATCGGGAGACGCGTCATGTGGAAATGATGCTGGGAGCCGTGACTCGCAAAATGGAACTGTCCACCATCAACGTCCAGTCCGTGGAAAGCGATTTCAACATAAACGTGAGTCTAACAAAATTAAAGTAGAGAACCCCAACTTCTGCAAGTTGACAACCCGAACTGCCCTCAGCTCGTTGCAAACTATCCCCACCTTCGGGAAATCACTATGAATGAAAACGACCGAAAGCCGAAGCTACCAATGCATTTGATTCTCGGAGTCAGCGACTATATCTGCATCAAAACTAACCAGCCCGCTCGGGTGGGAAAAACTGGAGAACCTGTAGCTGAACAAACAAAGTTTGGTTGGACCATCATCGCGAAGGGTAGTGGAATTTACTATACCGCATTACTTCTCACCCAAACAAACCAAAGTGATTACGAACAACTTTGTCGTCTTGATGTTCTCGGCTTAGAAGACCGGCCCGAGCATGATCAAGGAAGTGTCTACGCAGCATTCCGTGAACAACTCGTTCGAAGCAAACTCACGCAACACTCGTTCGTTAAGAAACAATTCTAACTTCACATTAACTAAATGCAGAACAGAACGTTTTAAAACTAGTTTTATACCAGCAATGACTGCTAATTTTAATAGTAAATAATTTGTAGTATTTTAACAACTGTACATATACGATATATCTATATTTATATTATTTGATATTCATCCTTTATTATGTTTCTGTGAGCATATTGCAATTCACCTTCGGGTGCCAAAATGTGTTTCTTAATAAACCTTTAATAAAATAAAATAAAATAAATAAAAGAAGGCTGGTATGAAACTGGTCTACCATGGAAAGGTAACCAC